TCCTCCTGAAGAGCAAACGTCGATGACCGGAATATGAACAATGGGATCACAGATCAAAGGTGTGAAGGTCGGAATTTGTTGCGAACTTGCCATTGGCAGTCGGACCAGAGGTTCTGGGAGGAAAGCTGGAAAATCCAATGAAGGGATATTGGCCAGATCGAGAGGCGGTGTTGGTTTCAACAAGCTGGAAGAACTATTCATTGGCAATATTGAAGAAAGTGGTGGAAGCTTCATAGACTCAATTGATGAGGTTGGGAATTCCGAAGCAGCCAAGTGTTGCAGAGTCGATGATCCTGAGGGGCACCAACAATAATAAGGAGAAAAGACAGGAGATCCTAAAGAAGAAACTTGAGATACAGAGCTTAGAGCTGGCGGTACGGAAAATTTTCCTAGGGATTCAAGGAAGTTTGGAGGGAACGGACAACTCTTGACATTCGGAAGCTTATCATTTTCACATTGGTTGCCACCATCAGAGGGATCATTAGAAATAGGTGAAGAAATTGCAAGGCTCTCACTTACTGAAAGATGATTTTCTCCACGCCGTCGTAATTTCTCCCTGGCATTGCTCCTCAAGGAAGAAAAGTTTTGGGTCAAACCCTCTTTGAAAGAACTTGATCTTGGACTTAAACTACCTTGATAAAGTGCATTCACCTTGAGTACTTGACTGCTAGTGTTCCGGGATCGCAAAGATTTTGATGTCGTTGATGAAGATTGTCCACTGTGCACATCGATGGAGTTGAGCACGGAATCAGGTGAAGGTGGACCTGAATAACTTGCTTGTGTATTACTCACTGTTGATCCAACAAGATAAGCTCTAAGCTGAGTTACAAAGCAGCCTAGTCGTGACTCGCTGATTCCAGTCAATTCAGCAATTGATGGTTTTCTTTTTATCAAATCCTTCATCTATCATGAAAAGAACATAAATATTATATGGCAATCATTTCAAAAACAAAATCCGTTACCGAGTATCAGAGAGTTACATTAATAACTTGGGAGATGCTAAACTGATATGAATAATAAGTAGAATTAAAGAAAATTCAAATTCTAAACTTCTTTGTAGGAACCGCACATCTTTGCACAATGTTACTTGGATTTGATTATTAGTGTTGAATGAGTATATATCCGACATGAGCATATTCAATTTCATGCTTTTAGAAGGTCCCTTGGAGAGCCGTATCTTTATGCTCTTGTCTGGATATATATTTGAAATAGGTATTTCAAGAAAAATGATGAGTATGAGAAACATACTCAATACATGCAATAGGGAAGTTACTAACGAGAAAACCACCTTTGAGAGCAATTCAGTCCCCAGGAGCTTTGATTTCTCTGAGCACCAATAGTAAAAAAATTTGCCATCTGGGATCTTCACAAGGAAAGATCGTCCAGAATTGTCTACTGGGATCTCATCGATGGAAACAGCAGCACACTGATATTTATCAGTTACGATGAACAGTATCTCAGTTTGACCATCATCCCCAACAAATGAAAGGCGTAAGTCCGATGTAGGCAAGAGTGTAAGAATCAAATTTCCCCTGCATAAATTCAAGAGGTTTCAGGAAACAATTTATACAAGGTAAAAAAATAGCAGTAATAAACATAACACCAACAGTAAAACCAAGTTATAGATTGATTACCCATACAATTGATTTATACCGCCTTCTTTTAGAAAGTTTCAGACCAATTAAATACCTTAATGATTGTTAACCGGGAAATTGGAACCGTATGTTTGCAATTAAAAGGTGGGTTTGTGACCATTGTCTTCTTTCATATATAGCAAACTTTTGCTTATTTTCTATAAATAAATAAGTAGTCCATCCAAAAAAATAAAGTTATAAACATAAATATCAAGTCTATTACCTAACCCTACCTTTCTGATTCTAAAGGCCAGTCATTACATTTTATTTACTTTCCCATGATAGTCTTCCTGATTCTAAAACAAACAAATCCTGTGGCATGCCTTACACAACTATTTTTACATAAAACATATACAAATTAGAGACCACATATCAAAAAGATTTGAATTACCTTACAGCACAAGGGTGAAAATGAGTTCCTTGTTTGTTTATCTTCCCTACTCGAACTGAAACCAAAGGTATGCAGAAGCACCTCGCCAGCATACCAACTTCCGATGGCTCAAAGTGCTGCAAATTTCGTGGAAACAAATGAAGTTATACACACACACAAACTAAACACATTAACAATATTTTCAGATTAGACAAATCAATTGAAATTCCAACTTATCAAAAAGTACCTGACTCAAATGAGCTAACAATCGATCCTCAGCGACGCCGTTTGATACGTTGACTTTCAACAAAGGCTTTATCCTCTCATCGGTTCGACAAGCGCCAATTAATTGCATATCTAAAGCTTGTAACCATTGAAGAACCATATCCTCTCTATCGCTCTGTTGAAGCAACAAATCCCCGTCGTTTTCATCAACGAATATGTCGGCCAATCGTTCCGCGAGTCCGATTCCGTTCCTCATCTCACCGTTTTGTCTCGTGCCTGTTCCAGATCCAACTCCCTCGCGCGATGAATCGAACAATTCGTCACCGTTTTGATCCGCACGATCATCATCAACAAATTCTCTATTCCCCGAATCGGCCATTGTTGATATTTTAAACCACGGATTCCCCCCAAAAAAACCTCTTAAAAATCAAATTCTTTCAAATTTCTTCGATTAATGAAGGAATCTAATGCTTTTAATTCGTTAATTTTTTATCCAAATTATTAGAATTAAAAGGCTTTTTTAGAGATGGAGAGGAAATTATTAGAGAGAGAATAAATATCTCCTTCACAGAAAAAGATATTAGCAACGGAACGAGGTTTATATACGAAGGAAGAATATAAGGGCGGACGTGAAGGTGATTTAAGGAATACGGATTAATACCCTGTTTGAGATCCGTTGTTTTAATTGATTGGTTAGAAACCCCCGAAATCTTTTTATATAGTATTTTCCTTAGCTGTTGGACCCCCACTAGAATAGAAATGCCACGTCAGACGGGTAATGACAGCATTGATGACCTGAGCTTATTAGCTGTATTAAGTAATTAATTATCGGATAAAGTATACGAATAGCATTTGGCGCGTTATTTGAGTTTTTTAATTATTAAAAATTGTGAATTTGTTTTTTTGATTATAATAAGGTGTTGTATCGTTTAATTTTTTGATTATTAAAAATTATAAAATAATCATTAATTTATTTATATATTCTAAATTTATCATTTGTATGTCTAAAACGGACGTTAATTTATTAATTGATATATGATAAAATTATATTTTAATGATGTCCAATAACACTAATATTTCTTTTAATTATTGACTCGATGGTATAATGTAAACGGAATCAATGTACAAAATATAACTCAAACGATTTTAGAGGAAGAATTTATCATATATCATCAACAATTTAACGTCAAAGTCAAATATTAGTTAATTTTTTAATAAAAAATAATTTAATATATATAAATAATCAAGTATTATTTTTTATTTTTTAATAATATAAAATTTATCAAAATAACAACGCCCTATATTTGAAGCATATTTTGCGTTTTAAATTAAAATATTTTTAACCTTTCAAATTTATCACATCATTTATGGTCATAATTAATAACATTTGTATATATTTAAAGCACAATAGACAACTTCTCGATCTAAAATAAGTATTGGTCATTGACTTCAATCCACTATCCATTTTCTTATATGAGATTATAATAAATTAATACTTTAAATTGATCAAGTTATCATAATAATAAAAGAAATATTTTTTTAAAATTTTTGAATTTAAGAAATTATATTTATAAACTATACGTACAATTTTAATTTTTAAAATATTAAACTTTTATTTTTTAATCATTTCATATTATTAAAAAAATAATACAATAAATTGAATAATTTATAACACTCACTCGCATAATGTGGGGTCTGTCCACTTGCTCTTGTCTTGCTTTAGTTGTGTTAATAAACGGCCAAAAATAACACTTCTGTCAGAAAAAAAAATCAAGTTTAATTTTATATTCATTCTTCTTTAAATTACTACAAATTATGTTAAAAAAATACATAATAATTAAAAAAAGCTATATCAAACTCATAATCAACATAACATAAATATTATTTATATTTATATCATGTTATATACAAGTGATCATTATATTTAATATTTTTGTGTAATTTTTTTAAAATTGACTTTTAAAGAAAATAATAAAAAATAAAAAATTGATTAAGAGGATCCTCTTCATCTCTATAATGTATAACCTAGAGATTAGTTTATCAATAGATTATATACCGATAATTATAAAAAAATTATGAGAAATTAAGTAAAAGTTGTTAATTGCTTGGAATAGCACATGAAATCTATGGCTTAGCTTGTAACTTTTTTCGACATTTGATGGTATTTAATATGCTTGGTGGTAGGGGTGTGTAAATCCGGATCGGTGATTTCTTGGCCCGTGTCTTGACACAAATTTAAATATTCGAAACTTTGAATTACATACTCTAACATCCGAACATAAAATTTAAAAGTTCAAAATACAAAATCTAATAATTCATAATATATATATATATAATAAAAAAGTAAAAACTAACCGGGTACTCGGATAACCTGATACTTGGAAAAACTCAATTTTGCGACCCGGATCCGACCCGGTCGGATAATTTTTTTTAAAAAATTATCCAATTTTTTTTAAATTCGGATTGGTGGGTCGGGTATTTTTACACACCCCTACTTGGTGGTGTCAAAACACCCTACACTATTATAAACATGTACAATTACAATTAAGATTAATTAATTAATTTAATAAATAAATAAAATAAAATTATAGAGACGGACTAATTCAAATCGTATTTTACAAAAAAAAAATATTATGGAGAAATTTTTTCAATCCAATTCTCTCCATTAAAATGTCAGCATCAGATTATTCGATAAACTAAATATTTCATCATAGAGCTAAGTTTTAAATCCCAAAGCATAGACTCGATACATTTGAACATAACAAATGTTAAATTGAATTATACATTGATTTTATTTCAACACGTAATCATTTTATATATATCCCTTTATTTATAGGTATAATATATGATACAATCCAAGCTTTGAATAAATTGAGCGGTAACTTACCAATGTTGAAATCGGAAGTGATCGGAGGCGGGGCGGAGCGAAGAGCAAAAGAATTTTTCGAGTCAAGGAGGCTTCGATTTCACAGTATGGATGCTGCCCTTATCGAGCAACAATCGAGCACCCTTGACGAGTTCTTCTTTGATCATGAACAATACGGCAGCTGCAAGAACACTTTGTACGATTTTTGTGCTCATACCTTTGTAAAATCCGTTGAAGCCTTCGTATCGGATCATCTTTAGAATAGCATCCAAAGTCCCTATATATATAGGAGGAAAATTATTACATACGATCCCAGTACGGACTATTTGGATACCTAACGGGTCATTTTTAGAATAGGCAAGGAGATCAAATATACAAAATTTAGTTACACGATTTTATAGTACAAACTACTTCGATAACATCACGTAAACTTCAACATAATGATTCAAACCTTTGTATTGATGCCTTTGGTCCCCGGTTGAAACCTGTTTTGCTTGAAGTCTGGCCTGTAAAGACAACCAAAAAGATGCTTAAATCACACATTTTCAAGCTGCTTTAGAAAGGTTATTGGCTTATCGTTTTATCATGACCGATAAGGATACCAGGACAGGTATATCTAATTTTTTACATGTATTTGGAGAGTGATCGTATCCCATACTCATGACCGTAAAATGTGTCAGACAAAAGTGTCAAAAATGGGTACTTCAAGAAAAAAAAATTGAAGAGTCGGAGTAACGTAATTCATATGATCACACCTTTACTACATTAAGAGGGTAGGTCACACCAGTAGCTCCCAGTTTTGCCAAAGCTCCAAGAAGAAATATCTAGCATAATTAGACAACTTACTCAGAGATTAAAACAGAGAAGAAAATGACATTTCAAGGAACACCAAGGTAAGCGATTCGCGACATGTTTCTGAATATGTATTAGGATTTCAAAAATAGAGTGGGGCAACAAAACATATATAATTACAAATGTAACACTCGTTATTATTTCTTAAACTCATGGGTTTGTTATTTAGTAATTAATTTGAAATTCGAGTTTTTATACCTTTAAAATATATAATCATATTGAATTCCAATAATACCTGATATAGGCATATCCTTCTCATAATTTATAGAGCAAATGAAATCCATATTCAAATCATCAAATACATGTTCCCCACCATAGTATAACATCATTATTACTTAGGAGATATGAAATCAGAACCAACCTCCCAAGCAGTTATTCCATTGTTGCCTGGGGTACCAAGAAGAGATCGTTGTTTCTTAAGCTTCTTCAGCATCGTTTCATACAGCATAAATTGTATAGCCGGATTGCTGACCTGTGTGGAACAGCAGGAACAATAAGTGAAACTCCCTTAACAAGTATAACAGTCACTTCTCACATACCATGATCAATGTTGGGAATACACCTTTCCAGAAGCCCAAAAATCCAGCTTCATCATAGAGTTCTTGAATCTGCAAGTATTTTATGTGGAAAATAATGTTCAATAAGTCACATCAACGATGAAACAAAGTTTCAAAGTAATTAATGCAAAATCTTCAATTTTACGACTATTTAAGAGGCAAGCATGACAAAATAAAACTCCAAGTCAAAACAATAAGAATATACTATGGTATACTATGACAATAGCTAATTTACCCACATTTATGCACATTATTTCAAGCACCAATTCAGCATTATTAACATTCCACAATCACCGGTTTATTCTTCAACTCTAAGCTCCTATCTACACTTGCTATTACGGATGCAGTAATTCTAAAATAGTTTTATTCTACCTAGAACATTTATCTTCTATCTTAATAAAATCCCATCATCCATTTCTTCATCATTTAATAGTCATTACCATCATCAATCCTACCATCTATCCTTTCCAGACAGGCCTTCAACCACTTGCTACAAGCATCAACATTTAGCAAATGGAAGAGATGTGAAAAATGCTTTTATACACAAACACACAAGATTATGCATTTATGTTATTGTATAAAGTTTAAAACATTCTACCATTTCTAGAGAGAACTTGAATGAGCTTCAATGTTATAAGTGAACTACACAAAAGAGCTATGTAGACCACACATGGTGCATACCGCATGAACAGTTCCGTAAGGAAGAGGGTCGAAGACAGAAAGAACTGTATCCTCCGGGACAGGAGTTGCCAACCTATTAGGGTTAACTTTCTTCGAAACTTTTTTGTGAGTCTGCATCACAATAATTATTTTTTGTTTAAATATTAGCAAGCATGTAAATTGAAAATTGATGCCTTCAATTGCAGCGTACAAATCAAAACTTTAAAGCAGTCCAAATCATTGTGTGATATAAAACAAAGTTAGGCACACTAATCAAGAACACATAATTATACGCAAGAGGCCATGTTAGTTTTCTGTATTTTCTCAAGGCATAATTCTGGCATGGGATCTAGGATAATGAGAAAATTGTTGCCATTGATTTGGATCCAAAAAGCCATCTTATTGTATGGATATCCAACAATGAATTAATTACATTAAAGTTTGTTTTTCTATGTTTACACCAGATAAAAAGCTTTCTGAAATGTCTTTTACCTGCATACGTGTCACAATGACCCAAATGGGGTTAGTCAACAGCACATTTACGCACCTACACAGAAATTATGTAAGCATGTAATTAGCTAATATGGAAAGAAAACTAGTACTGCAGTTATGAAACATAATTAGAGCAGTTTCTGTACGATCTAGAGAACTTTAAAAAAGCATGCAACAATAGCACAGACAACCAGCAACATTGAAAACAAAACAAAACTAGATTACCCTGATAAAGCAGCTACAATGAGTGATGAAAGTATCCCAACAGATCCATCACCAATCCCCCTTTTCCTGTTTTCAAGTGCTTTAATTTCAGCTTTGTTCCTGAATATTTGATAGAAATAATAGTAAACACCCTGTATCATAGCGATAGTAAGTACTCGTGAATCCAAAAAAACTAGACAAACATAATATTGCAAGTTTACTGTTACTTTACAAATAGAAGAAAGCAGTTGAAAAATCCATGGTACTTCTTAAAGATAGATCGGTAAATAACTCGAGTTCACGAAACAATGTAGTTAAGCAACTTTAAATTAGCCCCATAGAGGTCAGAAGAACCCTGAATTAAAATTAAATAATCATCCAAACATATATTTATGCCCTCAAACATCTATATTTTATCCAATTGAATCTTCAATTAGATGGAAAACTGATTATGGCATCTAAACATTTTTTGTCTTATCAACAGCTCAATTGGATGAAAGATGTTCAAGGGCTTAACTGATAGCAATAAGAAAACAGGTGTTTGAATGATTATTTAATTTTAGTTCAATTAGCTATGCTCTCTAGACTCTTTATTTCCCTTAAGATACCTATGTGTAACAAGTGACCGACACATATTTGTATATGGTACAAGGCTATCATATAAAACCTTAGGGAAAGGAGACCCTATTTCGGACGCATTCATGTATCCAACATTCACTCTCGAGTCCAGATAACATAATACTCTCGCTAGCCATAAAGCAATATAGTAACAAGAACGGTTGTCTTGTGCTAAAAAATCTTCAAGCTCATTACCTGAGATGCAGCTGTACCAACTAATGAAGGCGTTAATCCTCCGTACAACCGTTCCCATCCTTCTTGCTTAACAACCTATAAACAAAGTAAGAAAACAAATTTTAATTGTTGCTTTTATCCATATTTTTCAACTGATAGGCAACGATTCGACATCAGTTTTAACATAGTTACTAAAAAACTAGTTTGAAAAACCAACAACCCAACAGCACCTAACATGAACAAGCAATAGCTCAAAAAATAGATTCCACTAACAAATTCCTCTAGAAAAAAAATGGAAGAAAAAAACCTGGCGCATTTGTTCAATAGTTCCAACTTTCCGTTTCTCTTTCTTGAGATCACGATCTGTTTGTTGACGAGTATTTACCTGTAAATCAAGTTTTAAAAATAAAATAAAATTACAGCTAAAAACAAATACAAATTTTCTTCAAAAAAAGACGAAGAAAATGAAAAGAAAATCATACAGTTTGAAGAGGATACGTAATGAGTTGAGCTATGATCCCTCCACCGGCTCCCGCCAATCCATTTATCAAAGCGTCCGACATAGTTCTGATCCCTCAAAAGTGCATTGATCAGAGAGAAGATCAGTGCAATATTTTTCTCGAGAAAATCCGGTGTTTGGGAGAAAATTGCAAAGAGATCTATCGACTTTAGAGAGAGAGAGAAAGCAGGGAATGCTATCTCTGACTTCGGCGGTAGCGGAGAAGCAAACAAAAGGTCATTTTAGGAAAGGATTATGGGCGTTTGCTTTCGCTATCGAAAGTTATTACTTTTAAATTCATTGGCTGTTGTGTAAACGAGTCGAGTTCGAGTATTGTTGTGCTTCAAGTTTGACTTGACTCGAAAACTTTAAAATGGAGCTTGAAAACTTGAGAGTTTAAAATTTTCAAGTTCGTCTTAAACTCGAAATCCTGAATTGAAGCTCGTGAGCAGCTCGAAAAGACTTTAAATGAAAAAAAAAAATTAAACTTAACTCGATTGAAGCCTCAAACTCGAACATAAACTTTAAATACATGAAATCTTACTATATTTTAAAAAAAATCATTACATAAATATTAATATTATTAATAATTTATTTTTTTAAAAATAAAATCTTAATATATTATAATTTCGAGCTGCTTACGAGTTTTTTGAGTCGAATATCGAGTAACTCATTTCAGCTCGTTAAGAACTTGAATCGCGTTCATTTGATCCGAATATTTATCAAGTCTTAATTAAATCGATCTCAAGTAATTCACGATCTTTTTCATCTCATTTACCGTTCCGTTTAAGAACGCAAAAATGGAAGGGAATTTGAATGTGATAACTGATCAGCGACGAAAAAAAATATGCTAACGATTGAAAAATAATAATTTAATTCTGTTTAAGTGTCCCACGACATTTTTTTAAAGGGATAACTACATAAAAAATAACATAAGTTTAAGTTTTATCCACTTTTAGTTGTTGATTTCAAAAAACATAAGATATTTTTATTTTTATTTTTATATAGTTAATATGTGATTACTTTTGTTTTTATTTAATTAAGACGTGGTCATCCCGAGTTAACTGTCGTTAATAGCAGTTAAATATTTTGATATAATCACATATTTGGTCTCTGTTATTTACATATTCTCTCAATTTAGTCATATTTTTAATAAATTTAATCCTCCCGTCGAATGATGTCACATGTCGTGCCATATAGGGGTGAGCGTTCGCTCGAGCCGAGTCGAGTCGGATAAAAAAAATTTGAATTGTTCGAGTTGACAAGTATATTTTACAGCTCGGAGTTGACTTAGAATTTTTCAAGTCGAGTCGAGTCAAATTTTTGAGTTTCTATTTAAATTTAATTATAAATATTTTAGAATATTATGATATTATTTGATTTCAATTTAAATAATATTTTTAACCACATACAATACATGTGTATTTCTTCATATTATTTTCATATGTGATATACATTTATAATACAAAGTTGAGAGACTCAACTCAAACTTGAAAATCAATCACTAATTACTAAAATTTTTGAGTTACTCGAGTTGTAAAATACAACTCGATTTGAACTTGAATTTTTTTTTAGTCGAGTCGGGTTTATGAAAGTTAATCCTCCAACCGAACGGTGACACATGACATTAGGGGTGAACGAAATTCGACTCGACTCGAATAACCAATTTTTTTGACTCGACTCGAATTAACTTCAAGTTGTAGTTTCATAAATCCTACTCGACTCGAAAAATTTTCAAGTTCAAACCGAGTTGTAAAATACAACTGGAATAACTCGAATAACTCAAAAAATTTAGCAACTAGTAAATTGAATTTCAAGTTTGAGTTGAGTCTCTCGACTTTATATCATAAATGTAGATCACATATGAAAAAAATATATGAAGAAATACACATGTATTGTATATGATTATAAAAGATCATTTAAATTGGAATCAAATAATATCATAATATTATAAATATTTATAATTAAATTTGAACAAAAACTTAAAAATTTGACTTGACTTTACTTAAAAAATTCTAAGTCAACTCTGAGTTGTAAAATATGATCAAATTTATTTTAATTTATTCAAAGTATAACTGAATTGAGAAAATATATAAATAACATTGATCAAATGTATGATTATATCAAAAATTTTAACGACAGTTAACTCGAGGTGACCACTTCTTAATTAAATAAAAATGAAAGTGATAATATCTTATGTTTTTTAAATCAATGACCAAAAGTGAACAAAACATAAATGTAAGTGATTTTTCATGTAATTAACCCCTTTTTAGATTCCACTACATTTTCTTCGTAAATATCCTCGATTTCTTTTTTGGATATATTTTTATTAGGTTTAATATATTTGTAAACATTTAAATTTTATCTTAAATTATTTTTTATGTTAATTTTTTTAAAAATAATTAATTAATGTTCCATCAAATTTTTGTTATTAATCATTAATAATACAAACAAAACCTCCAAAAACACAGTTAATCACAATATTGATCTCAATAGACTTTAGCAATAATATTAATAATTATTTTTAAATTTTTAAATTTTAATAATGAAAAAGAAATTAACTCAAACTTTAATAACATATGGTGTAATTTACCATGTTAAAAAACCATTTGACCAATATATCCTCTATAATTTGATTAATTACCGAAATTATCCTCTCCTTGAATTCGCCATCAATGGTATATTTTTATGCATTTTTCTTGGAAGGTGTGCAAAATACTAATATAATTAATTATTTTTCAAACATTATTTTAATAATTAACTTCTGTTAATCACGTTTCTTAAGGTCCACACAAAGGTGTATTTAAATTAATTATTACATGTATTATTTGTTAATATGATATTTTTAATTTTACAAAACGAAATGATGGCATATTTTAGTATATAGAAAGTCAACACGTTGTTTTTTAATTGTAAAAAACATCAAAGGGAATTATTAGCTTAGTGAGGGGAAATTGACTCTGAGAATTAAAGGGTAAATTATGTGTTTAGTATCCAAACTATTAATTTTTATATGTTTTAGTACCTAAACTTTAAAATTTTCAAAATCATACCTAAAGTTTAGTTTTTTGTTTTATTTTAGTATCCCTGTTCAAAATTTAACATTAAGTTTTGAAAAAAATTTGAATGTTTAGGTACTAAAACGGACCAAAACTGATAATTTAGATACTTAATGCGTATTTTACCCAAAAATAAGATATTTAAAGATGGTGTTGAATTAATTACAAAAATATAAATATTTTGTAGTGCATACGAAGTTTTCGGTTGTTGAAACCGATTTAGAAATTTAAAGATTGCCCATCGAGAGTAACGGTGATAGGATTTGAAATTGAATCTTAAGTATACACTGTCTCTGAACTGGAGGAACCACCCTGACCTAAACTTTCATTTAATTTTCATTATTTATTATCGAGTTAACTACATGATTTGATGACTTATGCCAATATTCTGTTCACCTTGGTTTCGAAAATACATATCATATAATCACTTTTGTTTTTATTTAATTAAGATAGGATCATTTTCATTTTTATTTAATTAAGACATAGTCACCACCAGTTAAATGTCGTTAACAATTAACACATATTAGGTGACAGTGCTATTTTTGTATAGTCATACATTTGATCACTGTTGTGTACATATTGTCTTGATTTGGTCATACTTTTAATAAATTAAAATGAATTTAATCATCCAATCGAATGATGTCGCATGTCATTTATTAAATATATTTTATTCTTATCTTAGTTTCAAAATATTTTAACACAAAATATATAGTTTTTAAATTAAAATTAAAATAAAATATTTTTAACTTAAGTTAATTGTAACACCCCAACCCGTACCCGACCCGGATACGATTCCGACGTGTCACATTGACTTTTCAAACCTTGACTCTTAAGAAAAATACCGGGAAATTTAAAACTTTATTTTAAAACAAAATACAGACTTTATCAGAGTGCTCGTACTTAATGACTTATTACATGCCAACACTTTATACATAACCAAATACGTACTTTGTCAAATACTTCTGATCTGATCTTTTAGTAGTGATACTGTCTTTGCCACTTCTATTCTTTCACTTCTCGTTCTTGGTACCTACGTGTAAATCACTTACACGCTAAGTCATAGACTTAGTGAGGCATATAAAACATATAATATAACCATATATCATTTCATATAAATAAAAGACATACATATGCAAACACTATCAATAATCCTTTCCACTTACCATATACTCATCATATAACACATATAATTCATGTATGTGCATTCATATCATTGAATCAAGACATATCAATATGCATGAATCTATTGTATGATAACAATATACAATCAGGTCATGCACACATGCAACTTACCTTCTTGTATCACTTTCACTTTCATTTGTCTTTCAATTTCATTGCCCATGTATATTATTGAGAATAGAGGTATGTGAGTACATTGAGGTTGTGCACTAATGCTGTCACCACAGCTCGTATAAATTCCCTCATGGGGCACCGAACCTTAGTTCAGTATTCGTCCCGAAGGACCTGTCCAGAGGTTACAAAGAACCCCGGTAACTATCCAGAGGTCATAAAGATACTCGGCAACTATCCATATGTTCCTTTCAACATAGGTAAACCCTCGACTCTTGGCATGCCAACTATACCTATAGCTCTATATCATATACTATGGGCATTTATTTATACATTTCGTATCACTTGTTCTTTCTCTTCTGTCACATACCACATGTATGTGTAACCATATACTTATATCATATCACAATATTATATATACATGTATTCATGTAAATCATTTCATGTAATCATATCACATATATCACATGTGCATATAAGCTTATAGCTTCTTTCACATATATGTAGTCACATAGCTTTCTTTCATGTAACCATGCATGTCATGTCAAATAACATATATCATATGTTGCATTTTCACTTAAGCATATAAATCATATAACATAGCATCCATCTATTTCTATGTATTAATGCATACATGGTAATCACATAACAATTTAGAAGTTACTTCTTACCATAGTAACTCCATCACTGGCTCATCACAAGCCAATGTTAATTCAATAAAATAAGTACAAAATAAATTGCACTCACCTTAGCTTTGCTTTGATTCGATTCTAATTCCTCAATTGTCCCGAAACGGATCACTTTCTATCTCTACATAACAATACACAGATTCATATCAATATTCCAATTGATATTCTAAACTGTCACTTCTTAGGCTAAGAGAAAAGACAATTTCCTCTTTCAATGAAGGTATGCATCGATGCACTACTTGTGCATCGGTGCATAAAATGCATTCGATGTTTTTATTTTAAAAGGATGCATCGATGCATTATCTATGCATCGATGCATTATCTATGCATCGATGCATCAAAGGCATTCGATGTTCTTCTTTTAAAGGAATGCATCGATGCACTTATGAATGTGCATCGATACACCTTGTCCAGAAATTGTATTTCAAGCCCGAAATTCATCAATTCTTCATTCAATTCTTCTATTTTAATCCCCTATTATGTCTTAAACTCAACTATCATTATTGAAACCAACTTATGTCCATATAAATCATATTTATCTTCCATATTTCATCAAGATTCTTAAAATTAAGAATCTTACTAAACTTTCAAATTGTTATAAATCTTTCTAACTTCATAAATCTCTATTCTTCTTGATGACAAGTCAAATTCCATCTTAAAAATCTCTATTAACTCTTTTCCAAATTTCCTTTAAAAACCCATTTTCTTTAATCTTTCATAACTTCTTTATCTTTCAATCTTAAGACCTAGCTTTCCTTAAGCTTAGTTATTATCTAATGATCAAAACCCAACCATAAATTTAGCAAATAATCAACTAACAAAGAAACTCACCTTTGCAAGCTTGGCTCTTCACGTTTGAGAGAAGATGAAGATGAAGAAGATAAGTCTAAAACTTATCTCTTCAATCATACATCTCAAATATTATAATACCCATTTATTAATATTTAATATTATCTTTGTTCAATGACCATTTTGCCCTTCATCTACTTTAATAATTACTAACAACTTTTAGGAATTATTTCCAAATAAATCATTGAATTATTCCACTCTTCTACTTAATTCATCAAATTCTTAAACTTTACAATTTAGCCATTAACCCCTAGTTTGGGATGTTACATTAATAATAAAATATATTTAATGAGTTAATATACAAAAATATTTTTTAAAGTTAATATATATATAATATTATAAAAAAATGACACGTGTCATCATTCGATTAGAGGATTAAATTATTTTAATTTATTAAAAGCCCTACTAAATTGAGAGAATATGTAAATATTTTTTTTAAATCAATGAGTAAAAGTGAACGAAACACAAATATAAGTGATCGAAAATATAGTTACTCTTTATTATTTTACCTAAGTTAACAAATAACAATGCATTTATTCCATTGTTATTCTATGAAAATGTTTTATAGAAGGAAATTTGATAAGATATCGGTAAAAATTAAATTTCGATATGGGAAAAAAATAAGTTTGGAGGTAAAAGATCTTTGGGTAGACTATACCATTGACCACTCAACTATGGAGTCCTTTTATTTTCACCATCGATCTTTCAATTTTATCAATCAGACCATTTAACTATTTAAATGTGTTCAATCAAGCCACTAGCCATTAATGGTTAACGGAAATGCTGATGTGGTAGTTAAAAAAATTGGCATAATTATATATTTAGTCCTTAATATTTATATATTTTATCAATTTGATCCTAATTTAAATTTAATATAATAACTTTAATCCTCTAATCATATTGTGACACGTGTCACAAAAAATATTTGAGTGGAGCCACTAGCCGTTAATGTTTATATATTGTGACACATGTCACAAAAACAAAACTTTAAATATAATTTTAAAAAAATTGAAATTTTAGATACTAAGACAAACCAAAAACACATAATTTCCCTTTAATATTATGTTAGTGGAGCCTAGATGGGTGCATTGTCCATTATCAACCTTCCTTTTTAAAACTTGGAAATAAAGCATAATATCACATACATATATGTACATACAAAAACACAAAAGCATACAAACAAGAGAAAATTAACGCAAAGAAACATAGAGCGGGTGGTGGGACGTTTTCATTTTCCCCATTTTTTGAAGTTTATCATAAGATCGCAGTTATACATTCACGACCGTTGATCTTCATCTCATCACTTTGATTTGAAAGGAATGGCTCTGATCACAACAACGTGGTAGAGTGCTGCGAGTGCTGCACCAACGAATGGGCCCACCCAGAAAATCCACTGCAACCGAAACCATACCAAAACAGATAAGTATCACCAACTATACCATACTATTCAAACTAATCTCTGAACTTTAGCGAGCTACTATAAAATGGACACTAAGATTGATTTTCAGATACTATTATCATAACGTTATATTGATTATTTTATAATAATTCGATAAATTTAATGCTAATTTTTAAGTTTTTCAGTAAAATATCATTTGATTATAGTTTAGGGACTTATGATGTACTTTACCCAACATTTTGTAATGAATTATCATAGTTATTTATTAGTCAAACTGATTATAACATAATATCTGTACAAAACACTCAACTATTTGATAATGAACGTTTAAACACTTTTAATGACAGATGTACGTAGAACCTAAAGTTGGCACGTACCCACTCTGGGATCTGAATTTCTTTATATTAATTGTTTATTTTACTGAATGTGTCCACCTAAAATTTTATTTATACCCACCACATATGAAATTTTTTCGTTGTTATCAATATATATGTCAATCCTGAAAAATAGTTATAGATTTGTCACTAAGCACCCCTACAAACATCTTGCTCGAACATGAGACATCTAAAAATAATAATTCATCCTTTTAATTAACTTCATTCTTACTAGGTTATTTTGGTGCCCCTAAAACAGAATCAAGCTTTTTTAATACTATTTTTTCATCAATAAAACTCGAACTAAAACTTCATTTAAAAGACATTCAATATTGAGAAAATTTTAGAAGCTTACATGATCATCCCATCCCTTGTCCTTGTTGAAGATGATGGCTGCACCAAGACTACGAGCCGGGTTAATACCGGTTCCGGTGATCGGAATGGTAGCTAAGTGGACCAAGAACACCGCGAACCCAATCGGCAACGGTGCCAAAACCTAGCCACATAAAAGTAAATTCACCCACCATTAGTAACAACATCCATAGCTTCATCTTCGAATTCTCTAAACAAATAATCTCATTAATGATAAAATTAAAAATTAATTTGAATCATTAAAAAAATTGAATGACTAAAATGGAATCACATAAATAGTTGAATGACAAAATACGTAGTTTAACCTAAATTTTAATTCGGATTATTGGATGCTTACAGGGACATGAGAATCTCGAGCGCTACGCTTGGCATCAGTGGCTGAGAAGACGGTGTACACAAGAACAAAGGTCCCAACAATTTCAGCACCAAGCCCATCGCCTTTGGTGTAGCCATGAGCCACCGAGTTAGCTCCGCCGCCCAAGGCGCCGTACCGAGTCTTCCCCATGAACCCTTTCACCACACCAGCGCCGCATATGGCCCCCAAACACTGCATCACCATATAGTAAACCGCCCTCGTCAACGACAGCTTCCTCGCCAAGAACAATCCGAACGTCACCGCCGGATTAATGTGACCACCTGTCCACAAACGCCGGAATCAGAACTCAAACCTGATTTCCCCGAGAAACAAACAAGCTGGAGGAAGATTATTTCTTTTTACCTGAGATTCCGGCAGTGCAGTAAACAAGAGCAAAGATCATACCGCCGAAAGCCCAAGCAATCCCTTGAATCCCGACCGTTGTGCACTTTGTTTTCTCCTTAACAACACCCATAACAGTCAAAACAGTGATGTACAAGAAAAGGAAAGTGGCAACGAACTCGGCAATCCCGGCCCGATAAAACGACCAAGACGTTAACTCGCCGGGCTCGAAAAACGGAGCCGGTGGTGGCTCGGTGTAGTCTTTGCCGTCGTCTTGGCTCTGAGCGGCGGTCCCAATAGGTTGCCTCTCGTTGAACTTGTTGGCTCCTAATCTAACATCCTCTTCTTTGCCCTCCATTTTCACTTCTTTGCTTCGGAAAACAAAAATGCAGAAAGAAAAATGTAAATTAAGGAATAAAATTATGGGATTTGGTTTGAGTTAGTGGGGGTGGTGGGTGGATTCCAAGGGTGACTTTTATAGGCTAAAGTTGGTGCAAAAATGGTGGTTTATATAAACGACAATGGGACGACTGCTCATGGACAGCGTAATTTGATCAATTTTTGGCCACAAAATTAGTGGGCTGAGGCACCGCCCATTACCCACTTTTTCTAGCGTGAGAGTGAAAGATGAGGCTGAATGATTGATATATAGACGTTATAACCGACACGATAAATATTAGGAGTTATTTTAGATTAATTTAATTAAAATTTAAATTAAATGAATTTGATTCGAGATTGAGTTCTTATCGAATCTAAACGAGTTAATTGATATTTAACTTGAAAATTTCATTAGGTACTCAGAAAAATTACTAAGTTAAAATTTTAAAAACTTTAATTTAATTATTAATAATATTCACATTTATATGTTATTTTAAAAAATACAATACAAGAGTTTCATGTACTAAGATTCGGGTTCGGGTTCGAGTTTGAGTCGAATTTTAATTTTTCATTTCGACCGGAGCTTGAAAATTTTAAGCTCACGAGCTTTCAAGTTAAGTTAAACTTTATTTTTTATTTCGAGTTTGATTTGAACTTAATAAACTTAAGTTCGCAAATTTTCAAGTTGAACCAAGCTTAATTTTTAGGTTTTCGAATCAAATATAATTCAACAATACTCGAATTTGTCTCAGCTCGTTTATATATGTTATGCATGTCTATTTCATCATTATATTAAGAATATATTTATTACTATTTATTTTCTTTCAATAATCTAGATTCAATTAATTATGTTTTAAAAAGTAAAATAATATATGAATAATTTAAAATAATTACTTATATTATTAGGAATAAAATTAAGATAAAATATTAAAAATAAAATTTTATATTTAACATTCAGGTTAGCCGTTCAAGTGATATATCTCCGTATTCATATCTGAATGTGTCGAACACAAATATCGAATAGAAATACTTTTTCGAGTCTAATAACTTTCACATAGCCTAGTAAATGATCCCATGGATGTCCTTTTATCAGGGATATGTAAAACCTCTATGGGCCATGCATGGCATGTTTAGAGCCAATGGAGGATGTGGTTATGTGAGGAAACCTGAGCATTTGACTCGACCATCTGATCAGTTAATTGATCCTAAAACAACATTCCCAGTGAGAAAAACGTTAAAGGTGAAAAAATCCTGCTACTCTGAGTCTGATATAGTACGTGTCTGATACGAATATATTCATTTTTTCTTTTTCTTTTTTTTTTACAAAGGTTTGATAACATTTTTGGCATTTGAGTATCGGATACAGGGACGGGCACGGAACTCGAATCTGATCAGATCTGATAAAGTTAATTTTTTTTAAATTAGGTTTGGGTCGAGTCAAGTTTTTTTAGAGGATGTGTTCGGGTTGGGTGGGTTCGGATTTAGGGTAAAAAATACCGACCCAAAAAATAATTTAAATTTACCTTATATATTTAGAGATAATTGTAATAATAACCCTTTATATATTATTTTTTAATTAGATCCCTATTTTTATTTAATAAAAATAATATTTTTACATATAAAAATGAGTCAAATTTTGGGTGGAGAGTATTTATTTTCATGTCGGATCGGGTTGATCAAAACCTGACCCATACCCATCCCTAGTCGGATATGAATGCATGTCTAATATAGATATATTAAAATTTTAAAGATTTTTATATATTAAAAACAATGATGAATCTAGAAATTTAATAATCGATTCAATTTAGAAAAAATGAGTTTAAAATTTTAATATATAAATGATGATTATTGCTCATTAACAATGACAGATTTTCATTGTGGGAGTGCCAGCAGATGAAGCTAAAAGGAAAACAAAGGTCATTGAAGATGATTGGGTTCCGGTATGGGACGAAGCATTCGCATTTCCCTCGACTCTTCCGGAGCTGGCACTGCTCCGGATCGAGGTATGGGAATACGACATGCACGTGAAAGACAACTTCGCCGGGCAAACGTGTTTGCCGATACCGGAGCTGAAGTCCGGTATCCGGTCCGTCCCCATGCACGACAAGAAGGGAGTAAAATACAGAAATGTAGGACTTCTAATGTTCTTCGAGACTGAAGATGTAGAGTTACCAATCCATCATGATCGAATTCATCACTTTTAACCCTTTGTTTTGCACCACAATGTGATTAATGCATATGTAATTTATGCATGTGTATGTGTATGTGTACGTATATGTGTATGTGTATGTGTATGTGTACGTGTATGTGTATGTGTACGTGTATGTATAGGTGTATGTGTAGGTGTACGTGTAGGTATAGGTGTACGTGTATGTGTAAGTGTAGGTGTACGTGTATGTGTATGTGTATGTGTATGTGTATGTGTATGTGTATGTGTATGTGTATGTGTATGTGTATGTGTATGTGTATGTGTATGTGTGTGTATGTGTATGTGTATGTGTATGTGTATGTGTATGTGTATGTGTATGTGTATGTGTATGTGTATGTGTGTAAAAGCTATTGTAATTAGATGAGAGAAGTTATGAAATGTGTCATGTTCCTTTCGCTCTTTTTTGAAGCAATAATTTTACACGCCACTCTTTTAAGGTTGTATTTTGGAGGATTTGATTGATGAAAATGAAGGCTGACGAGTATTGAATAAAAGGTCTAATTCAATCCCCAGCCCCTGTACTCTGCGGACTTTCGAAATTTAGTCGCTCTACTTTTAATTTAGACGTGTTTGGAATATTTCGAAAGAGAAAAAAAGGTCGTGACATTAGTGATGGGTTTCATTTCTAATAAAAAAAACCTTAATATGCCATTATCCTAAGATGTCTAATTGCAATTTTGGTCCAAATATACTTTTAATCTTTTGAATTAATTCGGAAAATAAGGTTTATTTTCTAAGCTTATAAAACAAATTAATTCGGAAACTAAGGTTTATTTTCTAATAAGGTTTAGATCGTGTCTTCTTTTTGAGTCATTTTTTAAGACTCATTATAGCGTGAAAAGTATGAAATTGGATCGAAGGAGATTAGAGACAATTGACCTTATAGTTTCTAATTTTTTATACAATTTAATTATTTTCTATATATTTCTTTTATTAATTATCTATTTTTTTCTAAATTTTATAATATACTCGTGACATAAAATTTATATTCATCCTTACCAAAAAGATAAACCTCGAGCATATCATGACAATACCATCTTAATAATATAATATTTAATTGTTGACAGTTCCAAATCATCATGCAAACAGAAGATCCCACAACAAATAACACATCAATTGTTAATCTGCACTTGGCCAAAATGATTAGTAGCACCCAAATCCGATGGGATACGGATGGTACGGGGACTAGGGTTGTAAATGAGACGAGACAGATCATGAGTTATTTGAGATTGATTCAATTAAGGCTCGATAAATACTCGAATCGAATGGAGTTTTTAACGAGCCGAAACGAGCTACTCGATATTCGACTCGAAAAGCTCGTGAGCAGCTCGAAAATATAATATATTAAAATTTTAATTTTTTAAAAAATAAATTATTAATATTTATGTATTGATTTTTTATAAAAAAAAATACAGTAAGATTTGTTGTATTTAAGGTTCATGTTCGAGTTTGAGGCTTCAATCGAGTTAAGGTTAAGAATTTTTTTTCATTTCGAGCATTTTCGAGCTGCTCACGAGCTTCAGTTTAGGATTTCGAGTTCGAGTTGAACTTGAAAATTTTAAGCTCGCGAGTTTTCGAGTCGAGTCGAGCTCAGCAATACTCGAGCTCGACTCGGCTCGTTTACACCCCTAACGGGGACGATCAAAATACCTAAATGGGTCAACCCAACATTATAGAGTTTATTTTTTATTTTTGAAAATTTGAAACTCGGAGTAACACGGTGTAGGTTATGTAAATTATAACTTTGAGGTATAATGTAATAGACCGAATTTAAGATGAAAAATTACTTATTCGATCCGACTTAATCTTGTTAATTTTTATTTATATATATTATTTAATATTTTAAGAATCTTTAACTTTTTATAGTATCAAAAAATCAACGTTAAACTCTAGCCGTTTTTTCAATTTCCCCCTCTCTCTCTCTTTCTCTTTACAATTTGTGTCAATTTCTATAGATCATATCAACTTTTTCTTCTTTGATTTTGTTTAGGCGACGACTTCAGCGGTACCAATTTTGATGCTGATTGCCAATCGTCGATTGTCATTTCTTTTTATTTTTTTAATTTTTAATAAGAATAGTTATATATTGTGACATGTTTATCTCCGCCTTTGTAGCACGTTTATCTCTGGCTTTTGGTAGTTCTCGGTCTTTTGACCGTTGTTTTTGTTTATCTTTTTTATCAGGGTTGGATTTGACATTGCTATGATTGTTTTAGATGACACTTATTTGTTATCATGCTAATCTTCCATGTTTTGGATCATCATATTGATTTGGATACGCGTTTTCTGTTAGTGGATAGTTTTCTCACGTCGCTTTATTCTGATTTGCGATTTGTCGGTGGTCTTTCAATAGATTCATCCCCTTTTGTGATTCGTTTGCCGATGTAGTCAGATTTGTTCATATCATTATTTTGTTCGAGCGTTGATTAGGTTCTTGACCTTTTCATTCTTTGGTCTATGTGTGATCTAGGTGGCTAGTTTTTTGTGTCAATAGTTATATGAAAATGTCCTAATTACAATTTAGTTTTGACTTTTGTGTGATCTAGGTGCTTGTAAATATTCATTGTAATTTTTGATATTTTCTATTTTTAATAAAAGTAGCGCTTTCTATAATTTTTTTATTTTTATATTATGAAAATATATTATTTAATTATTAAAAATATAAAATTATTATAAAATATATTAATTTTATCGTTTAAAATATAATACATAATTATAAATATCTTATTATAAAATATATTATTTTAATTATTTTAATATATTAATATATTCGAATCGAATTAGTTTGGGGTCAGGTTTTAGTCTAAAAAATCAAGGTTAATTTAGGGTGGAAAAAACCCTAAAATTCATCG